CGGGTGATCGCCGCCTCGAGCCGCAGCAGCGCCGCGACGAGGTCTGTGCTAGACGGCGCCCCACTCGCATCACCCATTGTGTCTCACACCCTCGTTTTCCGCTTGCTTGTTTGTGTGTTGAGGGTGGGGAAGCGGGAGCTGTCTTGTCTCCTTCCTTCGGTTGCTTCAGTGATCTGTCGAATTTTTGGCTTGCACTTTGCCTCCGCGACTCAACCGGGGGACACAGAAGAAAAAACAGGATGTACCCCACACTGGTGCAGCTGCGTCCGTGCTCCACTTCAGTCTGCCTCTCCGCCGCGCCCTCGCCCCCACAACGGAGAGGCGAGGAGATAGGAAGGGGTAGGGGTGAAGATGCGTTTGTGTATCTGTGTGTTGGTGTTTAAAGTGACGTAGAAACAGCGTCGCATGAAATCCATTATTACGTCTTAGCGACACGGATAGAAACCCATCTTCCCCTCGTCCCATGCCTCGTATGCGCGACAGAGAGAGAGAGGGAGAGGGGGAGGAAACGCACCGACACACAACCCGCATCCTCATCCAGAAGCATTCGCACACACACACACTCTCTCACACCGTGCTTCTCAAGGGCACTACTCAACGACGGCCGCCATTCATCGTCTGCTCAAATATCGCCTTCATTGCCTTCACGTGCTTGACCTTCAGGGCTCCCACATCCAGGTCCCCCTCGCTGAGGATAAGCGACGGGTCCTCTTTCCTGAAATACCTCTCCAGCGCGGCCAGGATAGAATCGTCCGCGTCCTCCAGGACACGGACCAGCCTATCAACCTCAGCGGCAGGAGCATTTTGCTCGTCTGCGAGGCGCTCCCGCAGCGTCATCAGTGTCGCCTGACACTTCTTTGCCTCAGCAGCAATAGCGGAGTCGGGGCCGTTAAACTTCTCGCAGTTGCTCCATATCCTTTCCACATCCTGCGTCACCTGGGAAGCTTGAGAGTAGTGTCCACCCTCCGCAATGCGATCTAAAACAGTGCGCAGTGACATTGGCTCATTCACAATGGTGTAATAGTTGAAAACACCAAGCTCGAGTGCGTTCACTGGCTCCCTGAAGTTCGCTGACGCGCCCTCCTCCGTGTAGAGCTTGTACAAACAGTCGTAGAGGTCACGAACCTCCGGAACGGTACTGAGATCACTGTGGTAGATGTGTTTTCCGCTCGGCAACGGCCGAGGGTGGGAAAGGGCACAGTCGACGTACTTAATCCAATAATTTATCTCCTCCACGGCATTCCGGGCTGTGGGGGGCATTTCTGAGGAAGAGAACACCACGCAGGCTCTTTACCTCCCTATTCTTTTTGGCGGCGATGCCGGTAAAAAGTCTGTCTCCGAAGACGACGGCACTTGTGAGCGAGGGGCGAAAAGAACAACAACAATAACAAACAAGAAGGGGGCAAGTGAAGAAGCAGCCGAGTGAGAAGCCTCTGCCCGGTCAGCCACGGGCCAGTGAGAGAGAGAGAGAGAG